TGATGATGATATACAGTTATGTTGATGCATCCATCTTGTTGTACTACAGCGGACATGTTATTCCAGGATGCAAGCTCATATAGTTACTTGAGCAATGGAAACTTGCCAGTGAGTGGCTGGGATGATGCCACTGATCTTCAGGATTCTCTGGTGAGTGCTGAAGTAGGAATATAGCACTGAGATATTTTTTCTTATCAGGTTTGGTAACGTCCTTGCTACTGCTAGCTGTTGTATGAGTTTCTTCACAATCATATCTATAGCAAACTTCTTGATTGTAATTGGTTCTTGGCCCGCCTATTTGTTATGTAGTCGGTGTGTGATCATGTGGGTGTCCAATTACAGGTATCCAATTTCAACTTTTTTAAACTGGTAACTTGTAATTGGATATCTTTGCTATTCGCACATCAATTGCATGACTGGGCTTCAATGGCTTCCTTCTTAATGTTCCTTACAGTTTTTACAACTTATGGAAAACACCACTGGCTTTTTCGCTCAAAAAGAAGTGCTCAAAGACCTTTTTAATCTTGAAATTTTTTTAAGATTAGTAATTGCCCCAAGTGGAATTCAATTCAGGGAGAAACTGTGCTCATAATTTTGAATAGGCCTTCCACTGCATGCTCATCTGATATTGAAATTTGCTTGCACGATTACTCCCTGAATTGTGCTTCACTTGGTCTAATCATTATCACCAATAATGTAACATGATTTCGTTTCCTTTGACAGACCTGCATGAGGGATATGGGAATCCCAGAAGATGACATAAATGGTAAGTTTTCTATTTCTTCAAAACTGTGATCCAGCCATCAACAGTTTAATTTAAGGAAAGGCAAGTGGATTGGCTATAAATCAAACTGTACCATCACCTTTTCCAGATCACAATAAATACCTGTTTCTGGAATGGAAGATTTGTGTGCCACTCTTTTGTGAAGAAGACCATTTACAAAACCTCTTGCTTGTTCATTTACTCTCTCTCTCTCATCCTTCCCTCTTGTGACGAACTATGCATACCTGTAATTAGGTGTTATTATGATTGTTGTTATTTTCGTAAGTGCATGGGCACATATGCGGTATTTAAGATGC